TATATATATATATATATATATATATATATATTTAGATTAACACATCAAAGAATTTATTCCCTTTTTAATCAATATGTGTTTACAATATAGGCAGAGACAGCAGCGAATAGAATATGCAAAGTTCTGAAAGTGAATCAGGAAAACGAAAGGCTGATGGAAGAATATGAACGTCTGGCGTCTGATCTGTTGGAATGGATAAGGCGAACCATGCCTTGGCTGGCCAGTCGACAGACCGACAACTCCCTTGCCGGATGTCAGAAGAAATTAGAAGAATACAGAACGTATCGTCGTAAGCACAAGCCACCGCGGGTCGAGCAAAAGGCTAAACTCGAGACAAATTTCAATACTTTGCAAACGAAATTGAGATTGAGCAATCGGCCCGCTTATATGCCAACAGAAGGAAAAATGGTCTCCGATATAAATAAAGCTTGGAAAGGTAAAAAATATTGAATAAATATTATATGTATATATATTTTGATTGAAAAGTATTGATTCGTTCGATTCGATCGTAGGCTTGGAGCTGGCAGAGAAATCGTTCGAAGAATGGCTGTTGTCGGAAATGATGCGCCTCGAACGCCTGGAACATTTGGCTCAGAAATTCAAGCACAAAGCTGACGCGCACGAGGAATGGACCGCGGGGAAGGAGGAGATGCTTACGTCGCAACACTTCCGGCAATGTAAGCTTAACGAGCTCAAAGCTTTGAAGAAAAAGCACGAGGCTTTCGAGTCGGATCTCGCTGCCCATCAGGATCGCGTAGAGCAGATAGCTGCTATCGCTCAAGAGCTCAAGTATGATGTTTGATGATTCTGTGATGATGATTCAGTTTCTGGCGGGGATAAGTGAATACCTTTCCTTTTTCTTTTCAGTACTTTGGAATATCACGATAGTGCGTCGGTTAATGCTAGGTGTCAACGAATTTGCGATCAATGGGATCGTTTGGGTACTCTTACCCAGCGCAGGCGTCAAGCTCTAGACGAAGCTGAGCGTATCCTTGAGAAGATCGACGTTCTGCATTTGGAATTTGCTAAGCGAGCTGCTGTGAGTTCATAATGTTCATAATACATTTTGTTATTGTATTAACAAACGTACATGTATAAAATGATTTTCTAATTGTCATTATATGATCTTCAGCCATTTAATAACTGGTTGGATGGAACCAGGGAAGATTTAGTAGACATGTTTATCGTCCACACGATGGAGGAAATCCAAGGATTGATGGATGCTCACGCAGCGTTTAAAGCGACTCTCGGCGAAGCTGATAAGGAATACAACGCCATTGTTGGGCTGGTGCGCGAAGTCGAGTCAATAGTCAAACAATTCCAAATCCCTGGAGGACTTGAGAATCCGTACACCACCCTGACCGCTTTGGATCTTACGAAGAAGTGGAGCGATGTGAGACAACTTGTGCCCCAACGTGATGGTACGCTTCAAGCGGAGCTTCGTAAACAACAGAACAACGAACTGCTCCGACGACAATTCGCCGAGAAAGCTAACGCGGTTGGGCCGTGGATAGAACGCCAATTGGACGCAGTTACAGCCATTGGCCTCGGTCTTCAGGGCACTCTGGAGGATCAACTGCATCGTTTGAAAGAATATGAACAGGCTGTCTATCAGTACAAAGTTCATCTCGAGGAACTCGAGAAGATTCATCAAGCTGTTCAAGAGGGTATGATATTTGAGAACCGATATACTCAATACACCATGGAGACATTACGCGTTGGATGGGAACAATTACTCACTTCTATAAATCGTAATATCAACGAGGTAGAAAATCAAATTCTTACCAGAGATTCGAAGGTGAGTTTTTTTTTTTTTTATTTTTTTTTAGTAATAAAACAAGAATAATTGTAATTCATCCTTCTCACCACTACTAAAATAAATTTAACGTATTACAGGGTATTACGCAAGAGCAACTTAACGAATTTCGTAGTAGTTTCAATCATTTCGATAAGAATCGTACAGGTAGATTGGCTCCTGATGAGTTCAAGTCTTGCCTCGTTTCGCTTGGATATTCGATTGGAAAGGACAGGCAAGGCGATATCGATTTCCAACGTATCCTAGCTATTGTTGATCCAAATAATTCTGGTTACGTACACTTTGATGCGTTCCTAGACTTCATGACTCGTGAATCTACAGATACGGATACGGCTGAACAAGTTATCGATAGTTTCCGTATACTTGCCGGGGACAAGGTTTGCGATACATTTATTTAAACAATAAAAAAAAAATATAATGTCATTCCGAGACAGAAATTAATTATTTGTATCGTTTTTCAGCCGTACATCTTGGCAGATGAACTGAGAAGAGAATTGCCACCTGATCAGGCTGAATATTGTATTCAGCGAATGCCACCTTATAAAGGACCTAATGCAATTCCTGGAGCATTAGATTATCGTTCGTTCTCTACCGCTCTATATGGTGAATCGGATTTGTAAAGATACGTGTTAAAAATTGAGAGAACTTTTTGGACGATTTCCATTAAAAAAGAGAAGAAAAAAAAAAAGAAAAAAAGAAAAAAAACGGATCAAATGTTATTCGAAACATTCGTCACGGTTTTTGGTACTCTGATGCATCTTTAATTTTAATTAAGAATCTCAATACGATAAAAAAAAAAATAGCTTAGCCTAAAAAGATATAATGTTCAAAACGTTCGAGATAAAAAAAAAAAAAAGGTCTAATTTGTTTATACGTGTCACGAGTGTTAGCAATTTTTTATTCGTGATATTTTTTTAACGTAAAGGAACCCGAGAGCTGTAATCGATAAACATTGGTGAACATCGTTTACGATGTCTATCATTGTTAAGAAATTAAAAAAAAATCGATAATGCTTGATAAAGAGGGTCCGGTACTTAAATAAATAAGTCTGTACAGTGACAATAAATGTACAATTTTAGATACCTTAACGTTAAAAGAATAGCACACAATCAAATACATCATGTTCTTCTAGAACGTTTGCTTCTTGCCTATGTCTGCGATGAGTCCTATATAATTAGTAAGTTAATATTTCAATTGTATATAAACATGTCCGAGAAGTCACACGAGTACCAGTAATAGAGAGAAAAAAATAATAAGCATTTCCTTTTCGCAAGCGTTCCAGAAAAGGATAAAACTGTACTGTTCCATAAATGAATATTGTATTGTAAAATGAGCAATTTAATTAAATGGTTTATTATTGTACAATTTATTACGTGCGCCGATATTGCAGCCTTTACGCATATTACTAAGAAAGAAATCGTTATAATACGTTTATAATATTTGTATTTGTTTTGACAAAGATGAATTGAATTCAAATTTTTTTATCATTATATCAAAGTATAATTTAATTTTCTTTCGATTCATCTAAGCGAAACGATTATTTGAATAACGTGATATGAGATGTGTATCTCACAGTTCCTAAATATAATCGATGGATTTTTTTTATTATTTTCAATTTTAAAATGAATTTTTCTTTTTTCTTTTAAAAAAGAAACAGATATGATTCGAATACAAGGCGCAAATCGATGTTCGTAAAATAAAGCGAAAATTCATAATATGTGTATAAATTAAGATTATTAACAATGTAATAACGATGAATTTTTGAAAATGCGTACGTATGTACGAAAACGACCTTCTCGCTAAGGATCCAGAAAAAATAATTACGCTCGAAATCGAACATAACGTTCATATTTTTTTATAATTAAGTGGTATTACGAATTCTTAAACGAGAAAGCCGCTTTTATCCTTTTTTTTCGTAAATCGCATATTAGATAATAATGCGAAACGATGCTAAAGAAAGCAAATTATTTATTTATTTTGAATGAAATAATTATTTATTATTGTTCCGATATAATTAATTACCGAGTAGTAAACGAAGCCACTTTTTCAAAGTATTTATTTTTATAAATATTTGAGAGAAGTGAAGATAAACGAAAGGCCACTGTAATATAAGAATTATTATTGTAAAATTTCCAAATAGCAATCGCCATTTTTTTTTTTTTTTTTTTTTTTTTGTGTTCACGTGTATTAGATCACACAATTTGTAATCAACAAGCCTAAAATATTTCATCATTTAAACGAATCATTATCGTCCGATATCATTACGTTGTCTCAATGCCATGGAAGACGCTCGTGTGTGAAATGCAATTATTCGAGAAAAGAGAAAAAGTACGCCAAAAGTATACTTTTTTTTCTTGCTTGGAACTTAGTGCTTCTTCAATCTATCTATTATCTTATTAACGCGTTTTGCGAGTTCACAGTAATTTCTTTTATCTTTATTTTCGTTAAAACAAGAAAAGATTATTATATTGGGCTTTTTATAGGGATAAAACAAAAAAAATATATATATATAAAATATATATATAAAAAGAACTGGAAAGATCTACCGATCTACCAAACACCATACAAGAAGTTCAAGTTTATGTTGTAAACACATAAAAAATATACAAATACACACACGCACACGCACATACGCACATACACACAACATATATATATATGTATATATATATATACATATACTCACGTACAAACACATATACATATCCATGGATGAAGTTATGAACATTCGTAATATGAAAACATAATTAATTTAAAAATCACTACTTATGTGTTCAATGTATGTATATGCCGAAAGAAATCTTTCCAAAAAAAAAAATCAAATTTTCGATATGTTCAATATCGTATTGTGTACACATATACATTCTCATTAATAATCACATATATGCATAATTATAATTCTTATAATTTTACATTAATTTAATATAATATTTACAATTTTAATTTGTTTCAAACATCAGCTCGACAATCGTATATCATATTTTTCACTTGTAACACTTGTCGACTCTACTACTTTTGTTTTATCAATTTCATCTTCCTCAGCTAGATTAATAACAAAAAAAAAAAAAAAGTATTATAAAATATCAAGCTAGGAAAAAAAAAATAAAGAAAAGGTCTTTGAAGAGAGAGCGAGAGCGAGAGCGCGCGCGAGAGAGAGAGAGAGTGAAGACCGTTCAAATTTTGTATTAAGAAAAAAAAAAAAAAAGCGTAAAGATTGGGTATAATTGTTTTTAACGTATCCTAGTATGCGTCATATCAAGTGGGCGAAATAATAATAACAAGAAATATTTAAATAAAAATTTCTAACAGTGTGGTTAAAAATGGATGCTTTTATTCCAAATACAAAATGTATTATATATATAAATATATATATATATATATAATATATCCGATTTAATTTTTCGATCGAGTTCCTAAGAAGTCTTGCAAATATATATTTTACATATAATCTTGAGAGAAAGATAATGATTTCGTTATAATCTTTTCGATTATTAAATGTATACCAACGTTTAAATTATTAGGTTGGTACGACATGCATATAACGCAAACTAAATCTCTATATATATATATATATATACAATAGCTATAATATTTACAAACTTTTTATTAACGATAATATCACCATGCTTCATTTCTATTGGTTATGGCTAACACGTGTTCGTAAAAATGAAAAAAAAGATCTTTCTTTGTCTCATTGTACAATTAATTCGATAGAAAAGTGACTTCACGTTTGATTCGTTCGATATTTTAATCCTTTTCGTAATTATCGTTCAATCAAGGAATAATTCAAAAGAAATTATTCCTTGCAACCAAGTCCAGCTGACCAATTGCAAATACCACCGACTGGATCAAAGGATAACCTGTCAGGACAAGTGTATTCGGCCCCAATCACCAATCCATTTACCATTCTGGCGCAAGTAATGAATTTTTTGCAAGAATAAGGATGAGGAAAATTGCCTTGGTCCAAGCATCGAAAAGTTCCTTTGCTCGTGAGAAAGAGTTTTCCATTGAAGGTCGATTTTCCGATCACCGGTTCCTCCTCATCCTCGTAATAATCATAATCGACAACAGGCTGTCGTTGTCTAGGCCTTGTTGTCGTCGAGCTTCGATGAGTTTTATCCTTCGTTCTCGGCTTCTGTCGATCACTGAGAGCCGGTGTAAACTTGAGGTTAGCCCTGCTTGTCGTTGCATCTGTTCTAGGTGCAACCGTAGTGCTTATTTTGCGCTTCAGGGCGTTCCGTAACGATGGTCGACCTGATCGTTCAACTCTATTAGTTATATTCGATTTCCCCAATAAAATAGACTAGAAGAATCCCGTTAAAAACCCGTGGAAAAAGAAAACATAAAACATGATGTATGTCCAGCGTGAAGAACGAGATGTGCGTCTGCACGTGTGGGGAGGATGCAGACGAGAGGAGGGAAAGAGTATCAATGTGCTTGAAAGTTATAATTGCATTAGTAATTCGCATTATGCTGTTGATACAGTGATGAGAAAGGCGAAGAAAAATATGATATATATAGGGTGGAGACATATAGTATAGTAAGGTCAAATAAGATTAGAGAAATAGAGGATAGAGACGATTATGAGATCGACGAGGTAGAATTGTCAAGAGATGTTTGATTAGCTTCTATTAAATCCCCAAAAAAATGATATACCTCTTCGAAAGTAATAACAATGTGATTAGTTCTTGATGGTAAACCTCATAAAGGTTTCACAGTGGTTTGAGTTTCAGTATGGAAGAAGTACACAAAAATTAGAAGTCAGTAAATGAGAGTAAATTTCGGTCAAGTGACACCGATTGATTCGCCAGGAAGAATAGAGGAAATTATAAGTCGAAGATTACGGTGCGATGAGAAATTATATCCCAAGTGATGAACGAAAGTGAAATATGCGCGCGACCTGATATTTTAGTTTAAATAGATTAAGAAATCTGATGGTGGAGGATTTAACAAGTTGTGTGTACCGGTGGTTGATGATTGCACAGACGGTGGATCCGCCAATGTGACCGCGATTTCTTGTGCTCTACTATTTTGATCGATATCTTTCTCAGGTTTCGAAGTTTCCGTTCTTTCATCCACGGTATCTAAAACAATATGCAAATATCCTTATAGATACATAATATAGCTCGTGCAACTATTTCTAATTAAAAATTTGTATTTTGTTCAACCATTTATTAGAAGAATTTTGAATTTGAAATATTTCGCGCGAAAATTGTTCCGCATTAAATATTATCCTGCGCAGTCGCAATAATGGAAGATGGTATGACACCTGGCGGTGATTGTGCGATGCAATACTAGTTGGCGGGACATGATACGATCGAGTTATTAAATTGTTTTAAACTGTGAAATATCGTTAACGCGTGTTTCGTATTTGTCGTATCATCACTTACCCAGTGTTTCGTTAACAACAGTTTGTAATTTTCCATCGGTCAGATGAGTCTTTCGATGATTCGCGAATGTGTTTGAAGTTTTGCTTTGCAATGGCGTCAAAGTGAATGCAGTGGGTTTTCTCAATCTGGTCGACGACAAATTTCCTGGTGTACGAGATGTTACCGTATTCTTCGAGGAATTCACCTGTTCGTAGAGCACATGTACATTGTATATCTATCCTAATCGCCGGGATGGTAAGTACAATTTCGCGATCAGTCAATAAAAATTATAAATTGATTGTCAATTGTTATAAGTTATCGTAGAGATTGAAATTATTATGAAATATTTTACACATCAAACATCCTATTCTCTATCTATAATCGATGAAAATGTTTCGAAAAAACATTTAGAAATTGATCGAATTATGGCGCGATTAATTTAAATTTGAAACATGTAGTATATTTGTCAATTCTTCATAGATGGCGCTTTGTAACGTATCATCAGTGACGTATCAAAAATCAAAGATCCCTTATTTTGTAAATATTTGAAGTTTTTCCATCAATTTGATGTAAAAACTTATATCAATTGACACGTTGGTTTCGTTTTACTCTAAATAATCGTTCGAACTAGAAAGCACTGAAACGATACGTAAAAGAAGGAAAGAAAAGAATAATTAGAGAAGAAGCTCGACAGATAACAATGGCACTTCATTCTTGTGTTAAATTGCTGAATTTCCTAGCTAAGCATTAACCCTTTGCACTTGTTGATATCTTACTGTAGAAGCGGCAATGAACAAAGATTATAGAAAAAGTTTCAACAATTGTCCAACTCGCTTTACCTATAAAAATGAGCAGAGCACAAAGGGTTAAAATATATCATAAGACGAAACACATACAAAGTAAGCGTAGCGCAGGCGCTTTAAAACGTGCGATATACGCCTCGTAGAGAGAAATATAGTGTTAATTGATTTGAAAATAGAGTAAAATCAGCGGTAAATGAAGATAAGAACGCATGATGGTAGAAAAAGTGCCCGATGAATTTCTTCCGTTGATTATAATCCCTTCAGAGATACTTTTCCTCCTGTTTTCGTTAATCGTAGCCACAGAAGAATCGAAGCAACTTCTTTTTATCATTAGGTAGTAAAATGAAAGACGATCGGACTTGCGTTTTGTTACGTAGTATTTTAAAGAGAATCATCGACGTTTCGCCCTTTATTTTCTCGTTCAAATGGTAAACTAAAACGAGGATAAGTCGTTTCAATGTTTCTATCGATGAATATTGCGTATCCCATTTTGTTTGGTTAAGTGTAAAAGGTAAGAGTGAGCGATAGCATCTGAGTTAGCATTGTATATTGTAAAGAAATTGTTATATACTTCTTTTTTTATGTCATCGAGTCGAAAGTGTAAGAAATTTAAAGTCTAAACTGACCTCGGATTCGGATCGATCGATATTCTCCTCGATCCGAAGATGTTCTTCGTCGAAAACAGCTTCGTTTCCTGTTTGATTTGCCTTTGACATTAACTTCTTTTCCACGTTTGGTTCTTCTTTGTTCATGTCTTTCCAATCATTTGAATTTCTTATGGAATCATTCACTTTCGTTTCTTTTAAAGTGGTTACTTCATAAACGAACGAGTCGTTCACAGCTTTACCATTGAAAACAGGTCTGCGTAGCGGTCTTCGATAACCTATAATTTTACGACGAGAATTTTGCGTTCTTTCGACTACTTTCGTTAAATTCTTTTGATCTTTGTTCAATCGATTCACGTAATAACGATTCTGACCACGTCTCCGAAATTTATGACCAAATTCGTAATTCCTGGTCGTAAATTTAATTTTTTCACCATGCACATTGATTGTCGTGTCGGTAACCGATGTTTCCACAGTGCTAGTCGAAGAAAGCGTCGTGGTCGATAAAATCGATTTGAATTCTTCGTCATTTTTCGTAGATTTTCCTCTATTTTGACTACTTATCGAATAACTTTTTTCTAAATCTGCAGGATGCGTTATATTCTCCATATATAATTCCGTTACGTCTGATTCTAATAAGTTTGTATCAGTCGTAACGTTGAATGGTATTGCAGTTACAGAAATTACGGTATTCAAAATAGAAGGAGTATTGCGATCGTTGGTTAAGGATTTTTCGATTGTAGAATTAATAATCTCGGATTCGTTAGAAGATCGGGAGGTAAGCGTAGAAGGTGACGAATCGGTTAAAGAAGATAGAGGTGTGGAAATCGAAGAAGTTATTACATTTTCTTCCGGAATTGAAATCTCGGTGAATTTTATTATCGATGATACATTTTTTTCCATTTGCACTTGATCCGTTGAAACAGATGTGCTTTCCACTCTATCCTCGATTCTAGTTTCATTTCTACTATTTTTCACGGATAATTCGGTATTAAATGTCGTGGTAACGTCAGACTTAAGATTTTCTTCGGTGTTATCGTGCTCGGTAATCACTTTTCCATCGGATTGTCCAACTTTTTCAGCGATCCCAGAAGGAATATTTTCGCCAGTCTCCATAGATAAGGTGGTAAATTGGGGAGTTAACGCGTCGATCTTTACTCTTTTCGATGTTGAATGTTCCGTTTCGCTTCTAGTGACGTAAAAACCACGCGGAACTTGGCTGTGCAGCAAGTTGATCAACGGAATGCCACGCATAGTGGTAGGCTTCAGACTGATTTCTGACGAATCTTCACGATCGATTCTCTTTTTGTTAGCGAACGAAGTATCGTCCTCGACGTAATATGCGTCTATACCATCTAAGGTTAAATCTGATTGAAAATCATTTTGTATCCTGTGATCGTGTTTGTTCCAAGATCTAAGTTCTGTATCGTTGAAAATCGTATTCTTTTCAATGATAACCTCTTCGAGAACGCGATCAGCATTTTTCTCACGCGATAAAACCTCTTCGCTCTTCGCTGTGAGAGGAAACGAATTCAAGAATACGGGCGATGAACCGGTGGCGATGTAATTGTTCGTTTGATAACCGATTAGTTCCTTGAGGGTTGGCAGTCTATTAACTTCCGTGTTGGCCACCTGAAAATCAGAAGAGGGTAGTACGCTTAATGACGATCTTCCGAAATCTTTCTCTTCGATCTCTCTCTTTCTTTCGGTTATTCTTGCCAATTCCTTCTCGTCCTAAAGCGCAAGAGAGGGAGAGAGAAGGTAAAGAAAGCGGACGATCCTCTGCGTTCGCAAATCCATACAGATTCTCGTTACATCATTTGCCTCTCGTAACCGAGAGATCGTCGCACAAACGGTGAATCGGTTAAAATGTATTTGACTCGATGATTCGAAGGAGGGCAAGAGGAGAGTTCTCTCGATTAATAATCCATATTAAATATCTGGTAAATTTTTAATGATGCGTGATAAGGATAATTGCGTCTATGTACATTATTAATTAATGACGAATGGTGGAATCTTCGATAAGATGCGATATCACTTGGCGAAGTCCCTGTTTCCGATCAAATTGCTGAACACCGATTCGATCTCGATCGTGGACGATTCGTGAGACTCGGTGGTGAATCGTGACGGATAAAGGAATTCGCTCTCTATGGGCAAGGTAGATGTTTCCATGTGACTTTGTCGAATTTCATTCATCGATTCGTCCACATCGGATCTTTCCAACGTTATTCCGGGGATCGAGGATGACGTGACGACTGGATGTTCCAGTGGAACGACCGTGGTCTGAAGAGGAATTTTCGTGGTAGAAGTAAGCGAGGAGTACTTGGTTTTAATCAGAATCTTTTGCCTTTCCGTGGTGCCAGATTCCTCGACGGACGTGACAAGTCTCGTTATCAGCGGTTGGGGAGAAGGCGTGGTCGTATAATCCTCTTCGACGACCAAGTTTCGAATCTCTGCTCGTTCTTCGTTCGAATTCGTCAAAATGGTCGAATCTTCGTTCCGAATGCGAGGAGTGGTCGTTCGCAGCGATTGTTGCTGCCTTCTGTGAGCATCCGCCGCGTAGTCAAACTTTTTCGCCGGTATCAAGGTCTCGGTGACAGGTGTCTCTGTGGTAGAAACTGCTGGGCGTCTCGCGTAGAAGCGCGTTCTCACTTGCGTCGAGGAATCGTAGCTGGGCGATTGCGTGGCATCCGCAATCGACTCTTCTTCGCTGTCTCGATTCCTCCTTATCTCTCTATACTTGTAACGTGTTCTCGGTTGACGAAAATTTTGATACCTAGATCTGGGATTGTTCGCTTCTTCGGATTCGTTCGAATCCAGAGGATAAACGTTTTCGATGCTCAACGTTTTCTTGATGAACACTGGAACTCGGTATCGAGGACGAATCTCTGGCGATCGATCGTTAGACCCATGTGTTCGATCCTCGTTCTCGTGTATCGAAGAGGTATCCTCGTCGAATGTCGCGTTTGGTGGACTCGCCAAAGGAGACGACAGTTTTTCGACAATCGATGAGGTAGTGGTGTAGCGATTCGAAAATTCTTCCGATTCCTGATCGATGGGCGGAGCAGTGGGATACGAAGTTTCATCATCGTTTCTCAAAGTAATTTCTTCCGTATCGAGCCGTGGATCTCTCTCCTCGTCGTCATCGTTGATCGTCGTTCTCGAAGTGGTTGTGGAGGAAACCGGTCTACGACGAACGAACAAACTCTTTCTACGTTTCGAAACACCTTCCAATTTATTTTTTTCACTCGTGGCCAAGTGACTCGAAGTTTCCACGATCGAATTTCGATCGTTGCTGTTAAAATTTTCCGGGGAAGGAGGAGCAACAACTGGTCGCCTGCCCACGAATTTCCTTCTCACGTATTTCGAGTCTAAATAATACGTCCTATTGTACGTCTCTAATCTACGATTAGATTGAGAGACGACGGAAGCCGTTGAACTCGGCCAAGAAACGACGGTCGGCAATTCGTCGGTCAATTTTTCATTCAAAATATCGTTCGAAAAGTTGGACGAGGTTGATTCCACGGAATCGGTTTCCGTCACCGTCGATTCCTCCGTCGTCGATTCGCTCGCGATAGCTGTAACATTGTCGATTATCGTGGAAGCCATCGTGACAGGATCGAAATCGAACGAGCTCGTGTCGTCGCCGAGCACGCTCTCAACGGTCGTCGGTGTTTCCAAAGTCATCGCAAAATCATCGCCTGCGTCGACCGTCTCCGCCGTTGCCAAATTTTCCGTTGACGCGTCGATCGTACTCGTCTCCTCCTCCTCCTCCTCCCTCTCCTTCTCCTCGGGAGTCACGGTGGATACGAGGCCAACGAATAAAATTTGCTCGGTAGATGGCACGTCTATCGTAGATGTCGCGTTTTGAACCGGCCGAAGACGCTTGATCACCTTTCTTCTACGCGTGTGCGGTCTGTTCTCTCGTTCCACGGACACTGGTGTAGTGGTGACGGGTCGCCTTCTAAGAAGAACCTTTCTTCGCCTCGGATGCACGGCGTTTACGCTCTCCTCGTTAATCGTCTCGCTCTTATTACTCGCGATTTTAACCACGTTCGAATCAATCATTTCATCGTCTTCGACCGTCGTTACATCCAATCCTTCCGTTCGATGATCGTCCGTCACCTCGGTGATTATCTCGTTTTCCATCGTCGATTCCGTGGTACGTGGTTCCACCGTGCTCGTCTCGAGATCGGTTGTAGTTTCTTGCGTTGCTGTCGTCGTCGTCATCGTCGTTTCTATCGCGACTTCGTCTATGGAGTTGAGGATCGGTCGTTCCGTCGTAGTCAGAGGCACGGTTACGGCGTCGTTCGTGGTACGATCGAGGAAGGATGGAGGAGGGGATGACGAGATGTCAGGCGTGGAAACGTTGTTATTATTATTTCTCTTCCTCGTGTACCTCGTTCTGGCGTACACGTCCCTGTTCACCTGCCCGATTGGCGTTTTCAACACCTTTATATTGGTAATCTTCTCGGCATCCCCGTCCTCTTTAACCGCGTTTCTCGATCTCGAGGACAAGCTTCTTCTCGGATAAGCTTGAACGATCCTCACGATAGGGCTGTCCTCGAGCTCATTGGCTCTCGTGGACTCGGTAGTGGTGGTAATTGTGGTGCTAGTTTTAGAGATTGGCCGACGAAATCTTCTCCTAGAAGGACCTCCCTCCGTGTTGGGAGGAGGTTCCGTCGTGGCTCGAACGCGTTCTCCGTGGACGGTGGAATCGGAAGAGGTGGAGCTCTCGTTTCTTTGTTTGAAGGTGGGCGGTGTGTATCTGCTCGCTCCTCTGATCCTCGACGAGGGTCTCGCGCGTGTACGAGCGGGCGTCCCTTCGTCGCCCTCGTCGTCGTGGGAATTTTCCACGTTTCGACCATGCTTCTCCTGCCTTGGTCTTAATCGACCTCGTCCCACCAAAAGGGACGAGCGCGTGTTGTTTCGCGACGGAATACTCACCTTGGACCTCGTCTGATCGTTGGACGGTGGCAATGGAGTGGTGGTGGTGGTGGTCGTAGACTCGGTCGACGACGGCCTGTTTCTTCGGTTAAAGCCGAACGGCCTCGGCTGAGATACCGACGCGGTGCTGATCCTCGTATTCGGAATCGACAACGTGGACAAGCTGGCTGGCGCTGTGGTCAACAGGATCTCCGTCGCCGAATCTTCCACGAGTTTCACGGGGTCGGTGGTCGAGCTGGGCTCCGGAGTCGTCGAGAGGATCGCTCTCTCCGTCTCGGCTTCTTCCGTTCTTCCCGCCTCCGTTTCAACGGGGAGGATGTCGTCGTTGGGTGTCGAGGATGAACCGATCAAAGGTAAGATATTTGTTAACGGGCTGATCGTCGTATCTATTTTCTCCTCGCCGATTTTCGACGGCTCGACCGAAACGATCGATTCCGTGGTCGATGCAACAATCTCCGAGACAGCAGCCTCCGTCGATTGGGGAGTCGTGCTTCTGAATCTTTGCACGCTCACGTATCTATTAAGAAATAAAGGTTAGTCGATCGAGCGACAAAGCGTTGTCTTTTTTTCTCTCTGTGTAATAGAGATAATTTCGAATATGGAAATAAAACCTGGATTTAGTCGTTTGCGAGTTTTCTTCGCTCGTGGATGAACGAGATTCTTCGTCTTTAACATTTTCGGATGAGCTCGTCTTGCTGTTAATTTTGCAAATCATTATAATTTAGATTTTTTTTTCATTGTTACGGGAGAGAAGACTCACCTTGGACGTCGGCGTCGAATTGGCGCCTCCTCCTCTCCATCCTTGCTCCTCTCCTCAACGTCGTTCTCGTCTCTCCTGAAGGATTTTCGTTTTTCTAAGATAACGTTCCCTCCCTTTATCCCTTTCTTCGCTTACCTCGATGTCGTGGGTCGAGCGCGTCTTATATCGATGTAATTAGGCGTCGCCCTCTGCGTCGAGCCGGCTAGAAAAGGATTGCTAATCGTTTGCTCCTCGGAGGAAGCCACGTCCGTGTTGTCTCCGTCCAGATCCTCCTCCTCTTCCTCCACCTCTTCCCCGTCCAGTGGCGGTTCCTTCGTCGAGTGTCTGAACGAAGAAACGACGTTCGATCCGTCGGTCAGTATCGCGGGATAGGGAGGAAGGGGGAAAAAGTTGTAAAAATACCATTTTCTTCGTACTTTGGTCTCTCGATGGTCACGTATTTCGGTTTCTGCGATCGTCTCAATCCCTTCACCTCTGGAACCTCTTCCAATCCCTCGAACTGCGCTCTCCCCGGCCCATTCGCGAAATTCGTATTCGTCGAAGGTCTCTGCCTGCTCGTAACTTTACCAGCCTGACGATTCAACACGCGCTCGTACAAGGTGCGACTTATAGTGGCTGGTGTAGCAGCACTCTCTCCGCCAGAGTTCGCCGAACTCTCATTTTTGTCTTGAAGCAACAACTGCTTCTCCAATTGCTCTATACCACCTGCTTTCTTGATCAGCGTTATCAGCTCCTTTATAACCTTGGGATCCTCTTCGTCCTCCGAATCGATCGATTTTGAGAAAGCCGCCTCCGTTGTAGTAGTAGTTGTTGTTGTGGTAGTAGTAGTACTGGCAGTGCTAGGCTTGTTGTTTCTGGTGATCGTTTTGTACAATAGCGTTTTGGGAGTGGAAGTCACCTTGGCCTCCTCTTCCTCTTCTTCCTCTTCTTCTTCTTCCTCGTCCTCGTAATACTCGTATTCTTCCTCCGGATCCGGTTTCACGGTGGAAGGTCGACGCGTGGTGGTGCTGTATAAGTAAGTGGTGCGACTTGTGGCGGCTGTTATCGGCGCCCTGGTCGTCGACGCCGACGTCTTCGATTTCGGGCACGCGACGTTGCGAGGATAGTCGCAGGAATCGGCTGCCTTGTTGAACACCAATCCTGCGCGAATAGAATTTTTACAAGAGCGAATTTAAATATGATTAATGCGGATTAAGTAATTACCGGAAGGACAGGTGAACTGATGCGCCACCACGCCCAAACCTCCCGGGCCGCTGTCCAAGCACCAAAAGTATTTTTTGCAGTCTCGAGGGTGGGGGAAAAATCCTTCGTCCTCGCACTTGAAATCTATCGAGGCAACGAAACAAATGTATTTCTTATTACGTTTGCAAAATGATATGTTTCAAATATCTACCTGTTCCAGGATCGGGAGTGGTCGGAGGTTCAGGAGTAGTCAGTTTATTACTCAACGATTCTTCCTTCGAATCGAGGCCATTGTTGCCCTCTTCCTTACGACGAACTTGCTTCCTGCGATTCCTGCTCGAACTCGATCGATTCTTCGCCCCCCTACTTTTCTTCCTCTCTCTAGATCTTTCGCGCTTGTTCGCGCCGTTAACCGCGTTCCCTCTCTCCGAATTTTCCTCCTCCTCTTCCCTCTCCTCGTCCTCGGACGTAGAATCGTAGGACCGCCTGTCGACTCGCTCTTCCTCCTCGTCCTGTTCGTTCGCTCTTGGCCGCGTGAACGTTCGATACCTCGGCCTCGAAGAAGTGGAAACACGATTTTTCGAGACAGGTGTCGCAGTTGTGCCGCCTCGTCCGCCATTTTTCCTTCTCTCTGTGTCGCTTCGAGCCCCTTGAACCCGAGACTTTTTGCGGCTCTCGATCGGTTTCGACTTCTGAACGGTGTTCCTTGTTTCGAAACGAGCAATTCGAAGAATCATCGACGATGATAAATCGGAAGAAAGAATTCTCCTACTCGTACTTACGTGCCGTCGGCCAAGAGGCTCTCTTTCGCCGCCTCGATCAAGGGATACGGCCGATCGTGACATTTCCCCCGGAAATCGTCGTTGTCGATCGTCCAGAACATTATTCCACCCAACTTCTTCTCGTTCGCGTATCTCGCTTTCAACCTCACTATATCCTCGTCGTCGTAACCTACCCACTGATCCTCTTTGAACGCGTATGGGCCCATCGCGTCAGGATTAGGCTCGATCACTTCCCAGTCGTTCGATTGCGCCAAGCTCTCGCAAATCTGTGATAACGATAAAACCATCACCTCGATTACTTACATTCGAGTTCATTTAATATAGAAAGATTTTTTTTAAAAAAAAAGAAACCTCGTAATAAGCAAGATAGCCTTTCTCTCGAGTAGCGTCGCCCTCGATTCCTGGGCCATCTGCCGGCGATCCTAGATCGGTGGCGTCTTGATTGAAAAGCGTGTAAGACCTTCCATACGTTGGGATCCCCAGAATAATCTTCTCCGAGGTGGCGCCTTTCTTCAGCAGATAATTAACCGTGTAGTCCTGCGAAGTAAAAAGGATAATAAAATAACAATCGTGATTATTATTAGAAATTAAAATTGATTCGCGTTACGATCGTCAATTCGGTGTCGTAGTTGTACTCGTTGTCCTCTTCCAGGGGGTAGAGGGGGGCATGGTGATTGACGGCAGGTTCGTAAGACGAATGGTAGTCGTAGGAAAGGAGATTGACGAAATCCAAGTATTCGTTCAATCTGGGTATATCGTAACCTTTGTCGATGTACTCGATGCCGGCAGGCATCGCCAACGTGAGCAACAGTCTCGGTCTTCCAGTCTTCGACGCCTCCCTCTCGAACTCCTCCCTCAGTTCCTTCGAGATACGAATCGATGTGAGAGCGAGCGAGAGAGAGAGAAGGGGGGGATATCGCGCGGAACCATCTCCCTTTATTGCTTAACGTATTCTCTATTCATCTTACTTGCACCAGGTTGGCGTAATTGTCCTTGTCCCGAGGCTTTCCACCGTCCCTAAACGCGGGATATTCCCAGTCGAGATCGAGACCGTCGAAGTGATTCTTTCGAAGAAACTTGATCGCGTTTTTGACGAATTCTCGCCTTCTGCCAGGGTCGGCTACCATGGGCGAGAACCTGCTCGAGCCTTCGTTCCAACCACCGATGGCCAATAAGGTTTTCAGATTCTTGTTGTACGTTTTTAAACCGGTGAACTTGGCGTATCCACCTTTGAAAATGCGAGTTAATAAATTGGTTAATAATAATAATAATAATAATTTTGGACGCTTCTCTCTCTCTCTCTCTCTCTCTCTCTCTCTCTCTCTCTCTT